ATTGTGTGTTTGCATACATGCACTTACTTATGTGCACTCTGAGTATGTCCTATCTGAGTATCTGTGATGTGAAGTTAAAAATGGTTGAGGTTTGATTACATTCCATTCATTTACTCAGTCTCTCATTAGATGTGACAGCTCATTACAAACTGTTGTGGACTGACTGACAGCTGAGTGACTTTGGCCGGCACCATTTAAAGCTGTCCAAATAGAGTCCATCATCACCACATTATTATGACCGTTCTTTTTTTTTTTGAGTCATTCTGATCAAGCCGTCATACTGTATCTTGACATCTCAGCCAAGTCCAAGTAAAAAGGACACATTTTTGCAGCCCTGAACTAGAACTAAACTAGAATACACCTTAGCCAAACCTACAACAGAACTTGATTTTGTCTGAAAAGCTGGTCGTCATTTGACAAAGGCCCACGTTCTCTTTATTGTGTTGAAAATATCGAAATCTTTTAAAGTTTCTATCATTAACACTCCAGAAGACACGGTCTTGTTCTGTCTGTGTTGAGTTATGCATGCATGTGGCTGTGCTTTATTAAGTCCACCTCTTCCAGTAAAAATATGTTCACAGTAGTGGTGCACAAAGAGTTTTGCCTGTCTGCCCTGACATTATTAAACACAGCATTTTGTTCACTTGTGCAAAGAGTGCTGTGGTTTTTCACTCAAACTCAATTACTGTTGTACAGTTGAAGTTTAAAGTTTGGCATTAATGTTTTCTGTACATCCCATACTGATGAACCCAAGCCTCTGGTCAATGAGTAGATGTACGTTTCCTTCTGCATGGGTTTGTGGATTATCTTAGTCATGATTGCTGAAAGAGACCTTAAATTATTACATTACATATATAACATTTCAAATGTGCTTTTTATTTTATTTTCTGCTGCTTTGAGCACCACTAACCAAGTGCCACCTGGCTCCATTATATTGAAGAGAAGGCGTCGTCTCCATGGCCTATTTTTGATTTTGGACTGAAGTGTCTCTTTTAAGACAAGGGTACTGCGCTTTCTGCTATCCATAACAGTGTGGATTTTGCCATAGCAGTGTTTCACAAAGGGACTTTCTCAGTCAGAGACACACACACACTCCCGCAACACACTGACCCATTTAAGAAACAGGCCTGCGGAGGTAGCAGCGTTTGGCTCAACTGTTGCTGATTTGGAAAGGGAGCAGGCATGCAAACCCTAGATACCCTGTAAACAGACCCACTGATAAACACACACCCACACACACACAGTACAATGAACCTGTCATTTTCATTTTCATTTTCTTATGTGGGAATACTGCGGTTTTCATGCTGTTTCATTTCACATTAGATTGTTGTGATTGTTGTGAACACTTATATGGGGTGCCGTTTGTAAAGCGGCTCACGCTGAAAATAACAGCAACATTTTGTCACATTTAGCTTCAAACAATGTTTAAAAAACTGGTATGAATT